AACATTTGCCCAAGAGAGCCACCAGGACTCCGTCAACAAAGATATAGAACTAAACAACACAGTTCATTGACTTGACCTCATCGACATACGCAGAACACTCCACCCGACATACGCAGAACACTCCACCCAACGGAACAGTATACATTCTTTGCCAGTGTATGCAGAACATTCTTCAGAATATACAGGGTAGGCTACAAACTATGCCTCAATCAAATTTAAACTATCAAAGCTCCAAAGTATCTCATCAGACCATAAAGCTAGGAAATTAGGTATAAACAATGGGAAGATCAAGGGAAAACAAATAAAATGCATAAACATTAAATAAAAACCACTAGGCTTAAAAACCACTAGGTAGTAGAAGAAATTAAAAACGCAATCTAAAATTTCGTGAATAAAAGAGAATGAAAGCACAACTTTCCAAAATCTCTGGGGCAGAGCAAAAGCAGTGCGCAGACAGCAACAAGCTGCAATGACCACATCCACGAAAGACTCAGGAGGAACACAGCCAGAGGTAATAAGCACAGGAAGATCTCCATAGCAACCGCCGGGGAGATCCCACCAGGGGGGAAGACCTGCACTCCCCGAAAGTCCAAAAAGCAACTTAAAAGTTAAGCCCACCAGAGTTTCTTAAAGGTGGACATCAGCAGTGTCTGCTGTCTCTCCCTCACCATTGATCAATGGCGTGAGCTGCTTCTGGGCACTCCCCTGCCCCTGCACAAGCCTATCCCCTTCCCTGTCCTGGTTTCAAGCCACCCAGCTAAAACTCTTACCTACCTGTTTTTGGGGGATCTGTGTGGATAGCAGACTGTGTGGGCAGCTTGGTGCAGACATCCTCACTACCCAAGTAATGCTTTTGGCCATCTACCCTCTTTTTTCTTGCTTTATTCTCTGACACCCCTCACACGAGGTGCACACACACACACACACACACACACACACACAGTAACATGGCCAAAGGAACAGGAATGTCCACCCAAATGGCGGTTTTATTTTTTTACTTTGTTTTATATTTCTCCTTTGTTTTTTTGCATTTTTGATCTATTGAAATATTTTTACTCTTTTTGCTAGTTCTCTCCTACTTCATCTTCCTAGGTGACCCTGACCCCAGGCAAAAAGAGGCAGGCTCACAGATCCAGACACACCCACCCAAACCAGGGTTATTTTTTTTAAACCAGGCATATTTCTTTTCCCCTGAGTGCCAGACAAGCCCATGTTCATGCTACCACAGGAACAAAGCCCCAGCAGCCATATCCAACCCATGTCCCCAACTTTTGTTTGGTCTTCTCTGCACATTTACATTTTTTTTGTTCATCTATTTCTCCGTCTGTTTCTTCTTATTTTGTATCATTACCCTTCCCATTTTCCTCCTTTATCTTCCTTCTTCTTCTTTTAAAAAATTTATTAAAAGATCGTTTCACTGGGGGCCCTTACAGCTCTTTTAACAATCCACACCTTAATTGTATCTAGCCTATTTGTACATATGTTGCCATCTTCTAAACACATTTAGAGAAGGCACACAGACACCAATAAAACACCACACACACAAACACCAAACAGAAGAAAAAGAAATCAAACACAAACACAGCAAAATGACAGCAACAACCTTGTATATTATCAATAGCCACACTGGATGTCAATGTATTAAGTGTGGCAATCAAGAGACAGAGTAGCAGCAGAATGGATAAGAAAAGAAGACCTATATATATGCTGCCTACAAGAGACAAAACTTAAACTCAAAGACAAGAAGACACACACACACACAAAAATCAAAGGATAGAGGAAAACTTACCGAGCCAATGGTAGCCATAAAACAACAAGAGTGGCAATATTAATCTCTGATAAAACAACTTTAAGGCAAATGTTAAGGTAAGTATGTCTAATTTCAATATATTTTTCCAATTTTATTAATACTTCCATATATCATACAATTCAATAGTTCAATCATATCAAGAAGTGTTATACAGTCACCACAATCAATTTTAGCACATTTTCTTCTTCTTTATACTAATTATTAGTGTAATAATAATTATTTTTCACGGTGATAAAAATATACGTAATAAAACATTCTAAAATTCAACAACTTCTACATTGTATAATTCAGTGCCATTTATTATGCTGTTATGAAACCATTATTGATATCCATTTCCAAATTATTTCACTCCCATTAACATAAACTCACTGCCCCCTAAGTAAAAACTCTTCCTCTTTCACTCATGGCCATTGGTCAATTTTGGTTTCTTTTACCTTTTTTTTAAAAGTAGTTTTCTTGATATAAAGTTCACATATCATAACTTCCATTGTTAAGTCACTTTAAAGAAACATATCATCTCAATGTGTTCCAGTGCTCCCTCCCACCTTCACATCTTCACTGTTTGCTGGACCCATTCTCCTCGTCCCTCTGATCCTATCCCCATAAACTCCTGCATTGGTTATTGTCTCTACCCATCCACTTTTCTGTGATTCATAAACTGGGAAACCTAGCATAAATAATAAAACATAGAAACAAAAATGAATCAGAAAGAGGAAAGTAATAATCATGATATAAAGATAAAAATAGTGGAAAAAGAAAAGACCACCAACAATATTAAAAAACCCAGAGAAGAAATTTCTGTCATGGAGCAAGTGAGAAATATTTAAGACTAGAGCAAATTTAGGTTGGGTCAAGAGGGAGGTCGACTGGCCAAGTATCATATTATAGTCTGATCCACCGTAATCAAGTTTACAATAGCCTCTAATAGTAAAGCTGTTCAAAATCCCTCAACTGTGCCCACAGGGAATGTGCCAGAGGTTTGATATGACTAGAGACTCAGCAGATGGATTTTGGGTTCCCACTGTCCTTCATGGCCTTCCACAAATTGGGTGTTCACAATTTAAGCTCTGCTACTTTTTCCTATCTAATATTTGGATGTTGTTATCACCATTTTTGGATCACACAGGCTGGTGTGCTTCTTCCATGTGGATTTAGTTGATGCCTCGCTTATATGGATGCTTGTTTGAATACAAGCCTTTAAGACACCCCCCACTCCACTCTCCCCTCCCCCAAGACCCCAGACACTGTTCCAATTGATAGCCGGGCACCATCTATGTTCATCACCACACTTAACTCTAACACCCTTAACTTCAGTGATCTCTTTGTGAAGGAGAGTATGGAGCAGGGCCATCTTATAGGAACGAACTGTGCTTTGACTGGGGCTGGAATTAAGTGTCAGGAGTGCTGTGTGTTCACTGCAACATGTCATCAAACCCAGAAGAGAAGCGGAGTGCCCTGAGAGAGATGGTTGGTATCAGAAGAGGATAAAGAAGGACAGAAGTAGGTCTAACTTGATAGAAATAATCTCTGGGCAGATGTGGCACTGTGTTCTCCTTCCTTGTGAAGTTGATTCTGACTCATCATGATTCTTTGTACAACAAAATAATGAGGTTGCATATATTTTCATGTACCAGTTGGGCATTTGAATATCCTCTTTAGGAAATCCTCTGTACTTTGCCCATTTCTTGATTGGGTTGTTTGTGTTTTTGTTGTTAAGCTGGACAAATTTACATATGTATTTTATGCTCACATTTGATAGATAGTCCCTGAAAATGTTTCTCCATCCTTTAGGTTGCCTCTTTATTCTGTTGGGAAAGTCTTTCAACATATAAACATCTATGAAGTCTCAACTATTTATATTGCTCGTACAGCTTGAGCATTTATTTTCATACCAGATAATCTATTGTTCAACAGTGGGTTCCACATCTGTATGGACTGCAAGAAGAAAAACTTGCATCAGTATTGGAGGAAGGCTCATTAACAACCTGTAACATGCAAAAGACATAATCTTGCTTGCTGAAAGTGAGGAGGACTTGCAGGCTATAAAGACCAAAGATGGTAACCTTCAATATGGACAGCAACTCCGTGTAAAGAGAACTAACGTCCTCATAACTGGATCAGTTGGCAACATCATGATAAACATGATACACAGAGGAGAGCTCAACATTATCAAGGATTTAATTTTACTCAATCCATAGTCGATGGTCATAGGAGCAACAGTCAAGAAATTAAATTAAAAAAAAAAAAGAAATCAAACGTAAAATTGCATTGGGCAAAGCTGCTACAAAAGATTTCTTTAACGTGTTAAAGGGCAAAGATGCCACTTTGAATACTAAGATGTCCATGACCACAAACCAAACCATTGAGTCACTGCTGATTTATAGCGACCTCCTATGGGTTTCTGAGACTGTAACTGTTTACGGGAGTAGAAAGCCGTGTTTTTCTCCTTTGGAGGTACTGGTGGTTTCAAACTGCTGACCAACAGGATTGCAGCACAACACATAACAGCCACACCAAAAGGGCTCCTACTGTGCTTGACCCAAGGCCTGGTATTTTCAGCTGTTGCATATGCGTGTGAAGCTGGACAACGAAGACAGAAGAACCCATGCCTTTGGGTAATGGTGTTGGTGAAACATATTAAAGGTACCAGGAACTTCTAGAGGAGCAAACAAATCTGTCTTGGAAGAAGTACAAACAGCATACTCCTTAGAAGTGAGGAGGATGAGACTTTGTCACATGGACTTTGGACATGTGATCAGGAGAGATCAGATCCTAGACAAGAACTTCACACTCAGTAAAGCAGAGGGTCAGTGAAGAAGAGGAAGACCCCCAATGAGGAGGACTGACGTAGTGGTTAGAACAGTGGGTTCACACATAACAATTGTGAGAATGGAGAAGGGCCAGACCGTGATTCATTCTGTTGTACACAGAATCACTGTGAGTTTAACCAACTTGATGTCACCTAACAAAAACGATCTCAGATTACCTCTGCAATTTCTCATAAGTCCCATTTTTCCGATTACTTCATTTCTACACATTAACACATACTCTCTTATCACATTTATATTTTCAGACATAACATACTTACAATTCCAGTAATTATTTTATTTCTGTAGCATCTGTCAGATTTATTTCCAAAATACGCATAACTTTTGACAGAGTATTATTTTGCTGTAATTGTCCTACTCACCTAAGGAAGACTTCTTCCATGGTGGCGAAGGAGGCACCATAACTGGCAATGCCCAGGCTCAATTGTTGATTTTTCAGTTCAGTAAATAAATCTGAAAACCTAGGAGGCATAAAGGAGGATGATTCCATTTTTCTGTTACTTATGTATTTATCTCTACATGGCACAGAAAATATATAGTTTGTGACTCTGGACTACCAGAGATGCTCGGGAAAGTAGAACAGGAGAAGGAATATATTTTATGTAATAATAAGTGATACTTATTTTATATTAGTGTCTATAGTTTAATGTTAAAGGCTGATTGGCTTATATAAACGTACTGACTGGAGGCAGAGACAAGATGAGGTCCTAGCAATAGTCTGTGTAATCTCTGTAAAACAAGAGACCAGAAGAACTGACGGAAGTATGTACGATTACAGATGACAATCCTGGAACTCTGAACATCAAATGAGAAGATAAGGAACTGGATTAAACACCAACTGAACAGGGAGACAGAACAAAAACAGTGACAGAACAGAGGGGTGTTTTGAAGCCCCAACTACATCTGGCCATTTTGGGATGCAGAAGGCCACCCACCCAGGTGAGTAGTCAATTTCACAGCATTCCTATTAGAACAGAGATATAGGATGGCTATAGCCTGAGTGAACATCACGAGGAGAACATGATCTGAAGAGGGAGAGAAAAGTGCACCAAAACAAGAGACACGCTTAAGAAGCAAAACTGGTAACTGCTGTGACCACTGAGTGCAGAGGGGGCAGGGCCACGGAAGGACTGAAGGAACCAATTCATAGTAGAGAGCCCCAGCTGTTTATGTGGAAGGTCTACTTGGTGGAGAAAGTCTGTAGAATGTTTTTTTTTTTGGG